AGAGAGAGAGAGAGAGAGAGAGAGAGAGAGAGAGAGAGAGAGAGAGAACAGTTTTCGAAATATTAGATCAGCTGTCATGTCAATACTGATTCGTACATTTTTACTACAGTGGCCTTCGTTGCGGTAATATTATTCTTTTATGGTCAAAGTTACTTAACTAGCGAAATGCTGACAGCCGAGAATGGAGCTATTTACTCAACCGATATTTACTGCTGCCGCTTATAAGATTTCAGCGTGAGCGATTACCTTTCTAGATAAGTTTACATGGGCTTGACGTTGAAGCGACCGCCGTTATTGATTGTAATATTGGTAACAGCCAGTATCACAGTGATCGAGAGAACATCCGGTAGATCTGAGCCGCTTTGTCTCTTTTAAAGTGATAAGCCTGCGCGCACCTGCACGTTTACGGTACGAGGATTCGATCGGATCGAAGGGACTCTTCATCGATAGGTATCGCGTCACTGCAGCAGTAGATTCCTCCGGCAGCCGGTGAACCTTTAATATCTCTGGCGCGTCGAAAATATAGAGATTCTTGGACGAGCGCGTCGGCTCCTCTATTGCTTCCGCGGAACTTTGAGGGCCGTCTTACGGTTCACCGGCGGAAAAATTCTGCTTGCATGTGGCGATCGTGACCTACGTCTGTCTCATATACTGGGTGATATGAATGAACTCGAGAATTTATTAAGTGCAGGGAAATGTCTGATTTCTATAGCACATTTTTGACGGCTGTCAAATAGAGCGATCACTTCTTTTTTTCTTATACTTGGTGAATAAATAAAAATTTAAATATTTAACATCCGTTGTACGTATTCGGAATAATTACATTACAGCTATATTAGAATACGAGAGTCATAGTGCAACTCTCGACAGATTTAAAAAGTAAAAGCTGGAAGAAATTCGCGGATAAAGTCTGCGGGAAGTGTCGGCCTGCCTTTCTGCCGCATGAAAGCTGTCCAGCAACTATCCATGCGAATAATACGAATAACGTACGAAAAACCTATTCCGCAAAAACGCAGCGCATTCAATACGTCGAAATAAAACGAATTATTGCGCATTAAGCAGGAAATTGTTATGTCGGATACATGTCGCGTATGAAGAAAATTTATATATATAAACCAATACCTGGATATTTGGAAAAATATCTTAGTCAATAACACATATTTGTATGTTACGAATAAAATCCAATATAATTTCTATATATTTTAGTAATAATTTAATTAATTAATAATTTCAGAATTGTTATGTAATTAATTGTTACATAATCAAGTGGAAGTGAAAGGACAACGTAAATACTGCACATATTGTAACTTTTAGAATTACGTAATTATTTTCATAAATTAATTTATACTTTGATACAAATATTTGTATTTTAATATATATATACGGCGTAATTTAAATTATAATTTAATTTATTCTTTTATACTGATTTTGATAAGTTTTCGAGAATCTTAGTAATCTTAATGCGTTACTACATGTTAATATGGGTATCTTATATCAACATGTATAATTTCAACATATATCATATGTATTCGTTACTAAATTGTTTGCTTTATTTTGGATAATATTTAATTTGCTAGGTCTTGTGAAAATATCAATTACGATGCAAATGTTTTTGCACCGCATACATAAAAGATACTAAATTACATAATTTACGAGGCAGTAAAATTAATTCAACAGGCAACTTGTTTCCCTGCCTATGTCCGTTCGAAAGGATGTTTAATGAATGATATTATTGTAAGTAAAAGTGTTATCAACTATATCATATTTACGATGTAAATTAAATATAATTTGTCAATCATATAGTTTAGCATTTTCTACATTTACATAACTCTATATTAATAAATAAAACTTTAATAGAAATAACTACTATTTAAAGTGTTTTTAATGTGAATAAGTGCTATTATTTTTGATAGAGCCATAAAGACTCAGTTGGATATTTAATGTTGCTTAGTTTCATATAAAGCTAAACGTAATTGTTAATTAACTGTTTGCGGCCAATTAACAATTACGAGATAATGAAGTACCTAAACGTCTTCGCTGCATGCCAAAGGTACGCGAAATATAGAACGAGCTCGTCCTTCTTGCAAGAGCATTAACTTGGTATTCAGCTCGGTGGCTTTAGTAGTCTCATTGAGCCGAAACTTCTTTCACCGACTCGGCCGGCTATTTAAGTCTTAGACTCCTTTGATTACTCGCGCGTACGTCGTTATCTTTGAGAAGCCGGACTGCGCTGCGCTTGTCTCCCGACACAACACGGGGACTACCTTTAATTTTCTTTGAGGTTGTGAGTTTCCTTTAGGTAGTTAAAAATAAAAATTCTTAAAAAAGAAAAGGTATAGGATCTCCATTTTCAACCCATTATAATTTTGGTGATTTGAGATTTTAAAACCGTAATAAAAGATTATAAGACCTTAAAGAAAAATCTCCATGTGTATTATTTTATGATGATAAGAATATAATAGTAGTTGCAAGATATTTTTTCGTATTTATAGAATGTGAAAAATTAAATCGAAATTATGCGTTCCTCGCGCGTATCTCGTATCCACGAGAATTTCGTTTATATTTTATATTTCATTTTCTTGCGAAACAAACTGAATGTGATGTTGACACGCAAGTTGAAAGGACAATCAGCGGCGGAGACTGGCGTTTACCTGAACAAACAGAGACAAGTCGTCTCCCAGCAGCATGTCCCTGCAGACGTCCTTAGCTGTGGTGTCCAGAGTAAGATATACGAGGCTGCTCTCGATCCCCGTGTGTATTCTCACCCACCCACTCCCGTTGCCGACGTCCACCCCGACTCCCGAGTCCCAGGAGGAATTGAAGGTATCCAAGAGGTTAACGGCGTCCTTCGAGTCTTTCACGCTCGAGGGACTCCCACTCTGTATAGAATCCGTGCTGAAGCTGTCCTTCTCCTCATTGCTATCCCCCGACGTCAGCTGCGTCCTTTCGCTATCGAATTTATCGATTGTCTCGTCGAGGTTCTCCAGGATCTTGTTCTCCAAAATCTTTTCGTCTATTATAGCATCTTCGCTCCGCGCCCGCGATTCAGCGTCTTCTCGCGGCTCAGATCGATCGATCTTCGAGGTATCTTTTGCATTTTTCTTCGAGCTATCATCCTCCGGCTCGTTATTATATAGATTGCAGCTTTCGGGATACAATCTGGAATTCTCCAGGCAATCTTGAGTCTCAATTGATTCGATCTCCCTTGGAGGGGCGTCCTCGTTTGTATAGAAGACCGAACTTTCTTCTGACAATCGTTCTTTCCTGTTTTTCAATTTCATGTATTTCGATGGCTGCGTTTTCTCATCTATTTGGTAGAAGAAATTTTCCTTAGCCGCCATGCTGAAGTTCGTATTCTCGCAAACGATCCTGCAATCAGGCTTATTCATAGCTCTTGAGATGTCTTTCTTCTCCGTCCGGCCTTTGATACTTTCGTAGTAACTTTTAGATAAGATTGATTTATTAGGATCCGCTTGTCTACAAGTATCTCGTTTGGAGGAATCTGTTTTACAAGTTTCTTGGTTAGAGATATCCTGCTTAAGAATGCCCTGGTTCTTTCGATCGTTTGTTCTACAGGTTGTTTTATTTTTCTTCTTGATCTCTGTGTAAATGTGTTCCTCGGGATCAATCTTATCCTTGACACGGTTTTTAATAGTCTGCTCCTTCGCGTCCTTGGCACGCTTTGATCTTTGCTGGAATCTCTCGTAATTAGCCAAAATCTTCTGATTCAGCTCATGGATCAATTCTAACCGTTTCGAGATAGAGTCGCCGGACTTGTTCTTGGTCCATCTTTTCGTCGCGTCGACATTGTCCTTCCTGAGCGTGTTCTGTTGCCTCTGTTTTCTTGTCGCAGAGCTACGACTAGGAATACCGATTTCATATTTCGAGTCGCTCTTGAGTATATTCTCGTCCGCCGTATTGATTTCGATCGAGTGGGAACTACCACGGTGCTTTCGATCGAAATTTGAGTGGAATCCGGACACATTCATCAACTCCAATGTCGGTTTGATTGATGACAATGACGATGATTTGGCTTCGCAATTCCGTTCCGAACATTCGCCGATTCTCGATTTACTTTCAATTTCCCTTCTGCGATTTTCGCTGAACTCGATACCTTTTCTGCTGTCAGGACGAATCGCCAATCCGACACTGGAGCCGCTGCTCAAGCTGATCCTCTCGTTCATCTCCCAGTTTATCAGTAGTCTGCCTCTGGTGTTGTCCTCGTCGACGCTCTTGCTAGCTGCGGGACAAAGACCGGGTTTCTGGGGGTTTTGGCAAGGATGAGAATCCTTCGGGATATTTGCGATGGTCCGTTGCTTTAATCCTCTGGTGGATGATAATCGGCGGGATCTTCGTAGCTTTACGGATGACGTAGGAGCAATTGTTTGATTGTTGGATGCACTGGCGATTAGCATTTTAGTCGTGGATCTTTTACAATCAATCTACAAATTATGATGATTTAAAATTTAGTAGTTCAATTATTAAAATAATTAATAACTTGATCAAACTGTTGTTAATAATTTTGTATCAAAAATATAATTTTTAGTTAAGTAATTAGTTAAATTAATTAATTATATAAAATTTCCATCTGACTCTTCAACAATTTATAAACCCTTGGTTTTAAAATTTTATCTTATTTAAATTTTTTAATTTTATACCGTATAATCAAATAACACGCTTATCATTTTAAAAGTAATTTGCCATTTTTTTTATGAAAAGAGATCAAATTTTGTAACGTTACGAGATATTATGATCAGTTTCATAGGTTTTATTTTCAAATCTAGTGTTTTATTAAAAAATATATAAAATATGATATTCTGACAGAGAAGATCATATTTTATATATAATTTGTATAAGATATTTTCAACGATGTACTAGCTATATTTATATACCATTATTTTTTTAATTAATATAACAAATAAAAGAAGAAATTCTATTCTGTAGGATAAAAACAAATAAAAGAAGATTTTCTTTAATATTTTGGTACGTACAAAATAGGTAGTAATTGGAACAATCGAATGACAGCGACGTCATGGAATTTGCGAAAGCGCGGTAACGATTATGCGTTGTGGAATAGCAAAATTTCCACATGACGGAAGTAGGATCGCGACAGATCGTTGGTAAATGACTATGCTGATACTATGGTGAATGTATCGCCATCGTTTTTATGTGTTTGTGTGCGGGGGAAGCCATATAAAACGTCACGCTTGGATGCTCATTTCAGCAGCGCTGACGTATGGTAGGTACCGAGTAATGCAGTCGGTTAAAGTGTCTATATATATATGCATATACATAAATAAAAATATCAATGTTAGGGAGACTAGACCTGTTAAATGACATTTAGATAATTATTACATATATTGACTTAATAAACAGGTTAATAGTAGTTAATAATAGTTTAATAGTAGAAAATTGTTGTTAAAAAACACTTTATATTTATCGTCATATTTTTGTTTCTATCTATTTTGCAAATTAAAAAAAGTCTACAATTAGATAGAACTGAAAACGTATTATAGATATAACAATTTGTATCTTCATGCATTAAATTTTTATCTTCTTTTCCGATATTTTTGCACTAATTAGATGTGATAGACTAATTCAATTTTGACGTTGGTTTGAAGAGACAGATTTCGAAATACTGCAAACGTTTTAGATTAGTTTTTCCAGTTTCTAAATCAGATCCCTGTCTCTTGCGCGAAACATACAGCTAATAAGTATGATGAGTTATTCTTGTCCCGTACCAAAAGAGAGAACTCACATAATAAATCTGTCTCGTCGAAACGTGACGTTTAGCCGATTTCGCGACGTACGTCGCGTCACATTGTCGTTGATTGTCGCGCGCACGTCGCGAGTGATCAGAGAATTTGATCCCAGCGGAGAATTACCTTTCAGATACCGCCGAGGCGAGGATACATAACCGTGAAACGTGTGAAAGTAATCCGCGGGGAACGGTCAGGAGGGCGAGAAAGAAGATGCGAATACGTGTTGCACTTGCGGCTTCGAATCACGTAGCCGCGCTTTCTATTTATCTATCGTCCCGCCAGCCGAAAAGGAATTCATCTTAAGTTTATCGCCGCGTTCGCCGAGAAAATTTATACCGGGGGAAAGGGGAAAGGGCAGGAGAGAAGGTGGCGAACTTCCTTTCTCACGAAATGCGAGTTTCCGGGGCGTGTCATGGCGTTATGCTTGGTATAAATTTAAACGACAAGGGTGTGGAGGACACTCGGATAGTACGTCGATCAACGGACAAACTCACGTGAGCAAGCTGAATAATGAATATGCGGTGAAAAGAAATGGAAATGAGGCAGCTTCCTCTGTAACATGATTTTTTTACGCTGTTGCACGAGCTATATATAACGGCTTGAGCGTACCATAACATTAAATTAAAAGGCGCGAGCATGGTCGTTAATCTTAATCCCGCATGATATAATTAAATTACGAAGAGAATAAATATCATAAAATTAATGTTATTATTCATACATTATATTCAATTTTTATTGCATATTATACATTTCTCTCTTTCAATATGTAGGTATATATTTATGATTAAATTAATATATGTTTGACATCAATCAGAGCATTTATTTTCGAATTTAATATTAATTTGCTGTTTTGACTGGAAATTAGCTGGTTACGGATAGGACTCGTAAACTCATGACAGTCCAATCTTGTTAACGAAAACAAATATTAACTAGCGAGAATAATCATTAACGACAATATCAAAGGTAGCCATTTGTCAACAGAGCAGTAGCCGCGATGATTTCCATCGAGTCGCCTGCCAATATTATCGAACAAATACTTCCGGCTAACAGAATTTGGTAGAACACTACGATCGATATCCATTATCTATCGAAAGGAGAAACCGGAGCCGACGGATCACGAGGGCACAGCGATATTTTCCTCGAGATCTGTTATACTAACTTGGTAAATGCACGTAAATTATTTTAATGTCATGGCTATGTGAGATTCGCGCGACACAATTTTACTTTTTAGAACAGCAAAATTAAATAAAATAGTTATTTTTTATCTTCGTAATAATCAGGTATATACAATGTAATTTTGAAAATGTGAAGATTAATATGACATATATTCCTTATTGATTATTCTATTCTACCTTAAAATATCAAGAGTTTAAAGATTATTTTTATGTCCTATAAATTCTTTATGCAAAGGAATATAATGTCTTTTAAAATTGTCTTTTAAAATGGATTCATAATTATTTTGAAGTAGCTTCTAAAGTGAATTTTATTTTATCAAGAGTAACTGAAACAAAGTGGATATAATAAAACACTAACTTTTTGTGTAACCGAGGATTTATATATCATTGATAGAATATTTAAATTGGAAGTTTTACAGATACTACATTTCTGAAATTGTTTAATCATTAATCTAATTAACAAATTTAAACAACGTTAAATTAAAAACTTTGGATTAATATTTACTTTGATGTTTAATTAAAAAAATTGTCTGTTAACATAAAACGGGACCTATATATATATATATATAGATCAGTCACAATGCGAATAATCAAATTTCACTTTTGTTTCTTAACTTACATTATTAAACACTGCAATCCAGTTCACTTAATCTATTTATTATTCAATGATTCTATTTTAACTCCGCGGCAGTAGATTCACATAAATCAAATATTTTAAAAGATTTACAATTTTAAACACTCTGCGCACTCTACTTTGTCACAAAGCATCACTGATAACCAATTATTTTAGTATAATTAAAAAC